CGCTCAATGGAGATAACACTGGATCATATTCCAGTATGATCATAAAACACCCGGCCAGGCACAATACTATGATTTCAAGCTAGTGGGAAGGAGATACCACTATGCACTCGAATAGCTATGGCAATGCCCGATACCCTCAAGAGCAGGAGATGCTTGTTTTTATGAGGATGGGGAGACTATGGTACTTTACCGGTATGCAAGTCCTTATGGCCTATGGCTTTCTTAAAGTCATGAAACCTGCGTCGCAACCAATCCATCACTAGCATCACCTCCACGGAAGCACATAGGCATGAAATGGAGTGCCGACACCACTCCGGATAGTGGACTTCGTGAATATCCAACAACACCCATATTTGCCGAAATGGAGCAGCCTTCAACAGTGATGCTGAGTAACAGAGACGTCTTCGAAATAGCCCTAAAATTCCCAGATGACCTAACCCATCAACGTGGGATATCTACGCAACTGAGATTCCTTGCTTGAGCAATTGCCGAGGAAAACTACTTTGGCGCCGATTCTGGAAGTTACCAGCTCCGCGCTTATGGTACCAGACCCTCGCATGGTTCCGAACAAAAGGGATACATTGAGCAGCACTTTGCATACGTTGTTGTACTCATGACAGCACCACCGGCTGAGCACGTGGTGAACAGAGTTACCGCGAGTGACTTTGCTCGCCACCCCGTAACAGAATTTGGCATCGCATCTGTTGACAACTGCACACCAGGTGTTGATTCGTGGCAGTGGAGATCTACTTTGCAGCCGTCGGATGAACTACATGCGCGCACGATGCCGAGAGGGTACGACTCGTGACAACACTAAGGCATGGACCAGCATTCTCTCATTCTCTAATTTCCTAATGCTCTCGATATCTCATTCTCGCATTCTCCCACTCCTTTCACACATTAGCCCACTCACTCATTCTCTGGTTTCTTCATTCCCTCCTCCCATTCACTCTCTTATTCTCTCATTATTTGGTTTTCTGGTTCCCTCATTGTCTCATTCTCCCATTGTTCTCTCCCTCCCCCATTCTCTCATTCTCTACTTATCTGATTCTCTCATTGTCTCAATTCTCCCATTGACCATTCTCTCATGCTCTGGTTTTATGATTCTCTCATTGTCTCATTCTCCCATTAACCACATTCTCCCATTCTCATATTCTCCGGTATTCTCATCTTCTTCCCCCCCCCCCCCCCCTCTCTCCCTCTCAACCTCTCTTGTCCCATTTTTTACCTCTGTCTGATATGTCATTCTTTTCTTCAATCCTTGGTTCCCCTGTTCTATCATGCCTTCTTTTCTCGACTAACTTGTGTTCTTTTCATTTTCTCTCTCTTCTTTTCCCACGTGTGTTCGTGCCTCAGGAATGCTTGTGGAAGAGATATCTGGTTTCCGACTGTGGTTTTATCTACAATAGACTGTTGAATAACACGTTTTACCGGTATTTGTTTTCCACTTGTTTTTGCATCTCTTTCTCCTGATGCATTTTAGAGTCCGTGTGTTGTAACAGTGTTCCTTTTCATTTGCTTTGCATTGCGACCCTTTTCCATTCTGCTACTGCTTGCTTGATAGACACGTGGTGCATTTTGTGTATGAAAAAAAGTGGGTTGTATTGATCGTCTCAAGTAAGGTTCTTTGATTTTCCACCTTGAGTGCAGTCATTTGAACTGGAGATAATGAGTGCAATCCATTTTCTTGCAGTCATGAAGTGTATTGCCTCAAAATATATTGTGTGATTCGTCCATTAAGCTTTCGACTTCCCCCACTTAGCTGGGGAAGCGATTGCCTATTTTTGTCGTCGACAAAAACACGTCACGGACAATTATGGAAAACATTTAAGTTTTTTTTTAGTTTTCCATAATAATATTGCTAATGACATAGTGTAATGAATATATTACACTATATTACACATATTTTGGGAACTCCTCTTCAGATTGTTTGGGAAGAGATAGCCCTTTTATTTTTCAAAACTCAAAATGGGAAATGATGGAAAACTTCAACACATTTGATGCTTTCCATCATTGTTTATTCTCAAGTAGAATATAATTTATAGTTATGACATGGCAAATCATCTAACTTTTTACATAGTGAAGCTAATGAATCTAGATAGTTTAAATGAACTATCCCGAATATATCGCCCACTAATCCCCACATTTTTACTTGATTATAATCATTTTTTATAACACTTAAGAAAAAAACTCGTCCGATCGATCGCAATAGGTTGCTCTGCAACCCAAAAAAAAAAAAAAAAAAAAAAAAAAAAAAAACTCGTCTGATCGGTCACAATAGGTTGCCCTGCAACCCAAAAATCGGTGTTCTATCAGCGATAGTTATGAAAAAAACGTCTGATGCACATGTAAACGATTCTTCGGGAATTTGCATTGACTTTTAATAACGGGGTTAATTATTGTATGATGCACTTGAAATGCCAGTGATTGGCTTGCGGAATAGTAAATTTCAATAAGCAATCGCATGCTAGAAGCCCAGGCGTTTGCACGCCAGCCGTCTGGCGCAGGGGTCTGGGAGGAACATGTCTGATTTGATTACTTGCCAGTTGCGATAGTTTTGGTTTCGACAGACTATTTAGGGCAAGTGGGGAGGGGGGGGGGGGGGGAAGGGGAGTTTGAGGGGTGTTACTGGTTGCGGGGGATATGAATGGGGTGTGACTGGTTGCTAAGGACTTGGACAAATTCTCCTAGGTTGTGGGAGGTACGGGAGGGGTGCGAGTGACTTGTTTCTGAAGACTTCGAACAAATTCTTACGGGTTGCCGAGGGTATGAGTGATGTTTGACTAGTTTTCAAGGACTTCGACAAAATCTTGGTTGCCTGGGGTATGAGAGGGGTGTGACTGGTTTTCGAGGACTTCGACAAAATCTTTTGGGTTGCCGAGGGTATGAGGGGGGTGTGAGTGGTTTTCGAGGACTTCAACAAAAAACTCCCTTGAAGGCATGTGTGACTCGATGCGGTAATCACGGGGGGGCGCGAATCTCACTGTACTCGGTTTTAGACTACCCCTTAGAGACTTCTCTAAAAAATCAGCCTACACCCCACCAAAAATGCTGAAATCATCAGCTATCACTAAAAAAACAGGCCGAATTCGTTAGCCTTACCTATCTAAATACATTTTAGAGTTCAGCATGGGTAAAAAAAAAAGAGGCTGGAATAAGGCTGAATCAGCGTAAAAAGGCTGATATCTAGGTGGCTGGTCTCGAGTTACGTCTACCTATGTCTATAGCCCAGAGAATGGAGGCGCAGTCGCTTCAATCACTAAGTGGCATGGGGATCCCATGGATGACCAGAAAGTTTCACGAGCAAGTGTCCAACCACTAAGTGTTAGAAACTTACAGGATGAAGTTTGTAACTGGAATCCAGTCTCCGACCAACTCTCACATAGTAATGGGCTGAGTGCAGCTTAGACATCTTTGGTATAGAATAATCCATGTAGATGTTAGAGATCATATACATACATATATATATATATATGTCTGTGTGTGTTATGAATATATATCAACTACAACCTAGCTAGGTGCAGCCCTTAGCTATAACCTATACGGTCGGAGCACTGGTGCGACCCCAGAAGCTAACATAGGGGCAGGTGCGGAGGAGGGGGGGGAGCAACAGTAGCCCAGCAGCAGCAGCAATTGCCGCCGCAGACTCAGCGGTAGCAGCAGCAGCCGCAGTGGGGTCAAGGGAGTTCTGGGCGTAGTGCGGGCCCTGGTGGTAGGGCCCCAGGGCAGTCGCTGCCCTGGGGCACACGTGGCTCCTCTTGGGGCCCGAGTGTGTATAGACTAGGCTCCTCGCCGGGCCCTGTTACGGCGACGCTCTCCTTCACATTGGACTCTGGCGCATCTCACTGCTTCTTCCAGGACCGCACTGCACTCACAACGCTTCCTACATCGGTACACATTTCCCTCGCAAACTCGCCTGTCGCAGTCATCGCCCGCAACACCCCTGCCCTCCCCTATCTGGCTGTCCCGTCCGGCTCCGCCACCGGCTTGCATATCCCCACGTTTTCTAGGAACCTGATTAGTGTTGGTCATATTCAGGACCTCAGTGTCACCATCACATCCCCTGGCCATGAGAGGCATGCAGCCTATACGGATGCCGCCACAGACGCCCATCTTGCCAGCTTCGACCGTGACCCTACGTCCGGTCTCTTTACACTGCACACAGAGTCCCCCCAAGTAGCCGCGTCCACCTAGGTTGCCACGTCTTGTTCCTATCGCTCCCTCACCCACCTGACACTCCTGTGGCACCACCAGTTAGGTCGCCCTAGTCTCCTGCGTATGCGTCACATGGTACACCACGGTCTAGTCACTGGTCTCCTCACGTCGCTCGCCCCTGCGTGTACCTACCGTTTCGAGGGCCGACAGCGCAATGCCTCTCACTCCACTTCGTTTGATCCCACCACTGCTCCCCTACAGACTCTACACATGGACGTCTAGGGCCCCGCCCAGGTCCATGGGCCTCACGAGGATCGCTACTTCCTGGTTGTGGTCGACGACTTCATACGGTTTACCACGGTTTTCCCGTTGGAGCGGAAGGCCAACGTGGTCGGCTGCTGTACCTCATCTCTACGCCATGCTTGTATTTCCCAAGGGTGATACGGACGCCCTGAACATCCCTACCATGCGCTCGTATGCTGAGGCGGTCTCAGGGCCCTGGGCAGGCAAGTGGATACAGGCCATGGAGGCAAAGATGGCATCGTAAAGATCCACTGGCACTCATGTCGACGCTGTTCCTCCACCTGCAGCAACACTCAGGACCTTATAGGGCTACTACTTTAGTCTTGGTGCGGGTGCAGTCTTGTGGCGATCCACTACGTCGTGGTCTGTAGCTCAGTCCAGTTGTGAGGCAGAGATCTATGTTGGCGCTATGGCCGCTCAGGAGTTCCGCTGGTTGACGCTCTTGCTCATTGACTTACAGTAGGTGAGCGGCCTAGGTCTGCCCCGGTCCTGTTTGCTGATAATGGGCCATGATCCTCCTGTGTCCGGAGGCTTGATGTGAGGGCAAGGCCAACACACCCAGCTGCAGTACTTCCTGCTGCATGTGTGTGTGTGTGAGAGAGAGAGAGAGAGAGAAAGAGAGAGAGAGATTGAGAGAGAGAGAGAGAGAGAGAGAGAGAGAGAAAGAGAGAGAGAGAGAGAGAGAGAGAGAGTGAGAGAGAAAGAGAGAGAGAGAGAGAGAGGGAGAGAGAGAGAGAGAGAGAGAGATAGAGAGAGAGAGAGAGAGAGAGAGAGAGAGAGAGAGAGAGAGAGAGAGGGAGAGAGAGAGAGAGAGAGAGAGAGAGAGAGAGAGAGAGAGAGAGAGAGAGAGAGAGAGAGAGAGAGAGAGAGAGAGAGAGAGACGCAGCAGAGGGAGGAAAGAGGACGGGAGGGAAAAGGAGGGGGAAAGACAACGGGAGGAAGAACGGAGGGGAAAGGACAAGGGGAGGAAAAACAGAAGGGGAAAGACGAAGGGGCCAAGAGAGGGGAACGGAGGGGAAAGAGAACAGGAAGAAGAGTGTAGGGGAATGGACAAGGGGAGGAAAAACAGAAGGGGAAAGACAGAGGGACCAAGAGAGGGGAAAGCAGGGGGAAAGACAACGGGAGGAAGAACGGAGGGGAAATGACAAGGGGAGGAAAAACAGAAGGGAAAGGACTAAGGGACCAAGAGAGGGGAACGGAGGGGGAAAGACAACGGGAGGAAGAACGGAAGGGAAAGGAAAAGGGAAGGAAAATCAGAAGGGGAAAGACAAAGGGACCAAGAGAGGCGAATGGAGAAGGAAAGACAACGGGAGGAAGAAAAACACCACGGGGGAGGAATAGAGGGGGAACGACAAAGGGGGAGGGACGAGGGGGGAGAGACAAAAGGGGGGGGGGTCAGAGGGGGGCATACAGTACGGGGAAAGAACGGTTGAGAGAAGAACGGACGGGGGAAGAACGGACGAGGGGGAGAACGTACGGGGGAATATCAGACGGGGGAGAACGGATGGCAGGAGAACGGACAGCGGGAGAACGGACAGGGGGAGAACTGACAAGGGAAGAATGGACGGGGAAAGTGTTAGAATTAAGGACGGAGTCTAGGTGAACTTAGGAGCTAGAATTACTCAAAATATATATCCGAAATTCTGGACAGAAAAGTCGTCTTCACAAGAAACGACGTCGACAAAAACCTAGCCGTTGGAATGTCGCGAAACTTGGATATGTTGTAGCTCTTAATCTCAGCTACCGTTCCCAATTTGAATCACGTTGATTGATGAAGTATTCGCGACGCTATGGCTTTCGACGCACTAGGGGGTAAGCTGTAGGAGGAGAACTTAACTCAATCTCAAGAGTTCAATGAAAGTTCAAGAATCTCACAAGGAATTAGAGGAGCAAGAGAAATGTTGGGATAGAAGAGAGGGATGAGAGGGAAGGTCCCAAGAGAGTCCTCAACCAAGGAAACCCCATAAGCACAAAGATTCCCTCCCTATAGGAACCCCAACTTTGACATTTGTCCCTTCCCAACCAATCCATCCAAGTTGGCCACCCTTGCCAACCTAGCTTGGTTGTTCCCAACCAATTTGCAGCTGTTACAGTGAGTGACAAATTTCCCCAACCCCCAAAGGTCCCAACTCCATATAGAGTCACCCCACAACTTCACTTTGTAACCGCCGCAATTGTAACGCAAGCTCATGAACTTTGAATCTTCATAGCTTTCGCGTTCTTGCTCCGATTGAAGGGATTCTCGTTGCGTCGGAAAGATCTTCTCAAGATCTATCATCACAAAAAACCTGCTCAAACAAAATAACACAAAACACATTCCCAAACTCCAGAACACATCACACACAAATTCTTGCACACGTTCAAACCACACATGCAAGTTGAAAAAAATATGGGATGGGAGGCAGACAGAATGTGATAGCATATGATGACATCACACAACAATCTCCCCCTCTGGCTGCCAACCATCATCCACCATACCAACATCTCAAGCATGCATACTCAATGCACACTCATCCCAGCAAGCTTCATGCCCTTCCAATGATCCGCCTCCGCCAGACGCTTGGTGAAAATATCTGCTGCCTGCTGATGGGTCTTCACTATCTCCAGCCGCACCTCCTTATCAAGGAGTCTCCTCACCCAGTGCCACTTAGGCCTTATGTGTTTTGTCAGCCCATGCAGACAAGCATTCTTGGCGAGCTTCACAGCAGACTCATTGTCACAGAACACAACTGTCGGCTCCTCCTGACCAACTCCCAACTCCTCCAACAAACGCCTCAGCCATACCACTTCCTTGGCCCCATGGTGTAAGGCCATGTACTCAGTCTCACATGAAGTCAATCCCACCTCATTCTGCTTCTTGCTGCGCCAGCTCACAGCACCACCTCCTAGCAAGCACACATAACCCCCAATGCTGGTGCCATCCGCTTTCACTGAGTTGAAGCTAGCGTCAGTATAGCAACTCAAGAGCATCTCACCACTCTTCACATCTGCAGCACCTCTCTGCAACCGCTGCCTCACTCCACTGTACTCCAATCCCACTGATGCCGTAGCACTCACATAGCGGACCAACCTCTTGGCCGCTTCCAGCTGCTCATGACTAGGGCGTGAGACCACACTAGCCAACCGTGATGTAGAAAATGCAATGTCAGGCCGTGTATGATTTGCAGCATAATTCAGCGACCCAACCATCGAATGAAACAGCTTCCTGTCACTCTCACCCACTACCTCCTCATCAGCACATGGCTCCACAGTAAACCCTGAAGGTAGTGGTGTTGCTGGCTTTCCCCCATCTTGCAGCCCATACTTCTCAGCCAGCCCCTCACAGTACTTCCTCTGGTGCAACCTCAGCACACCCTTTTCCACATCTCTCTCCACATGCATCCCCAAGTAGTACTTCGCCTCACCCATCTTGGAGCACTTGAACTGCATCTCCAGCATCTGCTCTGCGCTGTCCAGCAAAGCAGTGGATGCAGAAAAGAGAAGGATATCATCCATATACACCAAGAGCATGAGGATTTCGTCCTTCTCCTGCAGCAGGAACAGGCTGGGGTCACACTCACTCTTCTTGAAACCCCCAGCCACCAGCGCCTCCTCCAACTTGTGATACCATGCACGAGGCGCCTGCTTAAGGCCATAGATTGCCTTCTTCAGCCTGCAGACCCTGCCGCTCCCATCATCCAGCCCCTCTGGCTGCTTCATGTACACCTCCTCCAGAATGATCCCATTCAGAAAGGCAGTCACAATGTCCATCTGCCGTATCTTCCATCCCAGGAGTGCAGCTATCGCCAACAGCACCCTCAGTGTTGTTCCTTTCCCCACAGGAGCAAATACCTCATCATAGTCCTTCCCTTTTGTCTGCTGAAACCCCCGTGCCACAAGCCTAGACTTGTATCGGGTCAGCTCCCCTTCAGGTCCATACTTGTGCCTGTAGATCATCTTGGAAGTGATTGCCTTCTTTCCAGGAGGCAAGTCACACAGGTCCCATGTCTCGTTCTCAATCAGGGACCCAAACTCCTCATCCTCACTCGCCTTCCACTTCTCCCCATTTGGTCCATTCAAGGCCTCCTCTCGAGTCTTGGGCTCAGGGATTGGTGCCCAGTAGCAGTGAGCGATCTCATCTTCCTCAATCTGCTCAACCACACTCCCAGCCTGCACCACATTCGGCTTGCCTCTTCCCCCATAGGTCAGCCTCACCGGAGGGCGCACATCCCTCCTAGGTCGCTCAGGCGGGTGTGGAACTCGAGATGGAGACTCATGCTGCTGCTGCTGCTGCTGCTCTACTTCAGCTGCTCCCCCTTCCTCAGTCACCCCAGACATCTCCTCCTCTGACACTGCAACCTCTACCTGTCTTGAAGGCCGCTGCACCTCATCCGCCTCCACAATGAGCGGTGTAGATGGAAGCTTCTGTTGCTGCTGCTTCCATTCCTTGTAGTACAGGGACTCAAGAAACTTCACATCCCTTGACACTGTCAACTTCTGGGTGGTCAAGTCCCATAGCAGCCACCCCTTGTGATCCTTTGCAATCCCCAAGTGCACACCCCATCTTCCAGAAGCCTCCAACTTCCCCCTTTTCTCCTTAGGCACATGAAACACTACCATGCACCCAAATGCCCTCAGCATATTCACAGCTGGAGCACTCCCATACCACTTGACATATGGGATCCACTCCTTATCTCCAACTGTAGCCAGCACCCTGTTCTTCACAAGGGCGACCTGCCTCAGTGCAGACACCCAAAACGGATCAGGCAGCCCTGCACGCCCAAGGAGAGTGCGTGCCCCCTCCTGCAGGGTCCTGTTGAACCTCTCAGCCACGCCATTCTGCTGCGGGTTGTAGGGCACTGTCAGTTGATGTTGGATCCCCTTCCTCTTCAACTCCCCCTCAAAATCAGCTCCAATGAACTCCCCACCATTGTCACTACGGATCACCTTCACCTTGTGTCCGCATTCCCTCTGAGCTCTCGGCATCCACTCCTTAAGGACAGCCGCTGCCACCTCCCCCTTGCTCTTCAAAGGGTAAACCCACACTGCCCGAGTGTGGTCATCCACAATTGTCAAGAAATAGCGGCTACCTGAGAGGGAAGGGGCTCTTGTGGGCCCCACCACATCCATGTGCACAAGTGCAAGTGGGGTCTTGGCTGGTCCTGTAGTGCTGTTGAAGGGGAACTTGGAGAACTTGGTCTCCAAGCATGTAGGGCAGCTCCCAATCTCCTTCACTCCCCCTTTCACCTCCAAGCCCTTCAGGCTCCCATCCTTCACCAACTTCTGCAGCATAGGGAAGTTCACATGACACAGCCTCTCATGCCATGTCTCCCAATCGGCCTCTCCACTCTTTGATGAAGCCTTAGCCCATGCCGCACTCGCATCCACACCAGCAAGCACCTCACCATGTGTCTGCTGCTGCTGCACTTTCTTGACTGCTTCCAGGACCCCATCAGTTGGTGCAGTTGCATCTCCTCCTGCTGTTGCCTTTGCCACTGCTGCCGTTGCTGCTGTTGGAGTCTTCCCATTCCATGGGATGATGGGCAGCTGCCACAGGTCCTTGATGCAGCTGGTCTCCTCTTCCAGACTCCACAGCACCTTCTTCCCAAGCTTAGCACGGCAGCTGGTTGGTCCAAAGGTCACTTCGGCCTTGCTCTTCTGCAGTCGTCGCACAGAGAGAAGGTTAGCAGACAAGCCTTCAACCAGCAGAACATTCCCAAGCCCCACAAGCTCCCCATTTGCTCCCTTAACCTTGGCATTCCCAACACCAATGACAGGGAGCAAAGCACCTGACGCTGCTGCCACATACTTGATCTTCCCAGGGGGTTTTACCTCATCAAGCAAATCTGCCCGTGGAGTCATGTGACTGGTGCAACCCGAATCAATCACCCAGTGCGTGAGAGGGTGCATCACAACCTTTCCCACAGATCCCACATCACCCTCATGCCCATGCACATCCTCAACCATAAGAAACAAACCAGGATAGGCATTACCTTGTGCACCTTCACCTTGTGCACCTGAGCCTTGCACAGCGCCACCTTGTGCGCGTTCACCACTGGGCGGCTTCATGCCTGGAGGTGCCCATCCCTCCGGCTTGCTGAAGCACTTGAACCAAGGATGCCCGACCTTCTTGCAGTACCAGCAGGTGCCCTCCATTCTGGTACTCCCCCTGCCACTGGAGCTCCCATGCCCCTCATTATAGTCACCTCGGCCTCTACCTCTGCCAAAGCTCCTCCCACGGCCTCGGCCTCTCCAACCCCCTCTTCCTCTGCCGCGCCTTGCAGCTCCATACCCCTCAGCAGTCTTAGTGGCAGCACCGCCTCCCACATGGCGTCTGCGGAAGTCCTCCTGCAGAATCTGCTGCCTTAGCCACTCAGGTGTCCATTGATCTTGCTGAGAGTTGAGGGTGGGGATGAGGTTATCCCACGAGTTGTCCAACACCGAGATGATCTTGGTGCACTGCTGCAGCTGAGATACACTGCTGCCCGCTGCTGCCATCCTTGCATAGGTGTCCTTGATCTTGTCAAGGACCGGCTTCACATCGTCCCCTGGTCGCATGGAGATGGCAGCAAGTTCCTTCTCGAGCACGATCACCATCAGGAGAGTGTTGGGCTGAATCACATCGCGTAGTAGTTTCCACGCCCTTGGACCCGAATCATCCGCTTCCACAAGATCCTTGATGTGCTCGAACATCTCCTTGTTGACCGATTGAAGGATGAGGTCGAAAAGCACCGTGCTTTTCTCAATCCACCGTTCACGTGCTTCGCCTTCTTCCGGCATCTTCTCTTCCCCAACAGCAATCTTCAGTAGCTTGTAGCGTTTGAAGGCACTTCTCATCCGTCCGCTCCATTCCTCATAGTTGGAGCCATCCAAAGCTTCAACTTTTGATGGCGGCGGCTCACTTGTCTTCTCAGCTACAGCTCCTCTTCCATTAGCATCTCCTCCTCTCTCATTCATCTTCTCCTTGAGAAATGACGAATTTCAGCCCCCCTTTGCTGTCCACACTCAGCTCCCTCGATATTTTCACAAGTGTCGGCGTCCACGAAATTTCGGCAGAGTTTCCCTTAGCGGAAGACACATCCAACCTTTAGAACACCACTTAGGCACACCCACAGGCCATGGTGGGTCTAGAAGGGTCTTCACACTTCTGTAGACTCCTCTCAACGTCCTTAATACAGCTCTGATACCACTTGTTAGAATTAAGGACGGAGTCTAGGTGAACTTAGGAGCTAGAATTACTCAAAATATATATCCGAAATTCTGGACAGAAAAGTCGTCTTCACAAGAAACGACGTCGACAAAAACCTAGCCGTTGGAATGTCGCGAAACTTGGATATGTTGTAGCTCTTAATCTCAGCTACCGTTCCCAATTTGAATCACGTTGATTGATGAAGTATTCGCGACGCTATGGCTTTCGACGCACTAGGGGGTAAGCTGTAGGAGGAGAACTTAACTCAATCTCAAGAGTTCAATGAAAGTTCAAGAATCTCACAAGGAATTAGAGGAGCAAGAGAAATGTTGGGATAGAAGAGAGGGATGAGAGGGAAGGTCCCAAGAGAGTCCTCAACCAAGGAAACCCCATAAGCACAAAGATTCCCTCCCTATAGGAACCCCAACTTTGACATTTGTCCCTTCCCAACCAATCCATCCAAGTTGGCCACCCTTGCCAACCTAGCTTGGTTGTTCCCAACCAATTTGCAGCTGTTACAGTGAGTGACAAATTTCCCCAACCCCCAAAGGTCCCAACTCCATATAGAGTCACCCCACAACTTCACTTTGTAACCGCCGCAATTGTAACGCAAGCTCATGAACTTTGAATCTTCATAGCTTTCGCGTTCTTGCTCCGATTGAAGGGATTCTCGTTGCGTCGGAAAGATCTTCTCAAGATCTATCATCACAAAAAACCTGCTCAAACAAAATAACACAAAACACATTCCCAAACTCCAGAACACATCACACACAAATTCTTGCACACGTTCAAACCACACATGCAAGTTGAAAAAAATATGGGATGGGAGGCAGACAGAATGTGATAGCATATGATGACATCACACAACAGAAAGAACGGACGGCGGGAGAGCAGAAGGGGGAAGAATGGGTGTGCAACAGCAAAACTAAGTGCGCATGGATACAAAGAGGCAGGGAAACTATGAATATTACCAAAAAAAAGTAACGAGAACAATTACATGCCTGGATAAGACAAGTCGATGTTCCGAAAGGGGAAGGCAAAAAAGGGAAAGAGAGGAGAGAATGGGAAGTGAACGAACAGGAACAAATGAATGTTTGAATGCTAAAGAAGTAATCAAGTGAAGAAAGAAAACACAAGCGGACGGGTATGCTCTTTCACCCGTAACGCTGCACATGCTCTTCCTCATTCCCCCCATTCCCTCCTCTGGTTCCCATCGCAGCACCAACTGCGTGGCACAACGCCACACATACCGCGCCCGAAAGTACGCACAGCTCTACGCTCGCTGGCGCCAGCGTGTGTACGCACGGCGCCGGCCAGCGCTTGGCGCGAGCCAGCACGCACGGTAGGCGCCAGCCAGTGTTAGACGCGAGCCGGCGGGCACGACGTCATGCACGCTGTCACCGCGCTAGGCGCCAGCGACATGGCATCAGCGTGCATGGCGTCTTGCGCCAGAGTCATCAGACTTGACGAAAAAAACTGATAGCCTATGCAGCAATAGCAGTGGCAAAGAGCTAAGACCACGAGCAAAAATGGGCTGAGAACTAGCTGCTTCTCTAAAGAGGAATGAGACCTCTCAAGAAGAAGAACGACGGGAAGGGAGAAGCGAAGGAACGAAAACACAATATTGGTAATTTGAATCAAAACAATGAAATGAGTCTTGAAAGGAGCTAGCTAGGCATGAGAATGGCGAGAGGTTTTAGCTAGGGAGGAAAGTGAGGAGAGAAAAGAGAGTTGGACTAGAAGAGAGAGGGATACAACAAGGGTGTTGTACCCTATACAGTAGTATCCATTGTAGCACACCTAACACTTACCAAGCCTACACATATATATATATATATGTAATATATAAGTTGACATACCCCCTTAGGCTTGGTAGGCGCTGGCACACCACACACGCAACACCCCCAAGCCCTTGCAACCCCATGTCCTGCAGCAGGTGTGGCTACTACCCCTCGTGCGAAGCGGCGACATCGGCGGCGCATGGCAGCAATGGCGTCAGCGGCGGCTTCTAGGACGGCAGCAGAAGCGGTGGCGGTGGCAGGTGGCGGCGGAGCCAGCGGCACCTGCAGTGGCGGCGGTGGCTTCGACGACAGTGGCGGCGACTACGAAGCTCACGGCACCCGGCGGTGTGGCACGGCCCGGCGACGACCAGGAAGGGAGCCATCAGCTGCGGCTGGGAAAAGGGGAGACGCAGGGGAGGGGGCGTGTCTTCAGCGAGGCGCCGTGGCTGGCGCGGCACTTGCTGGCATGCGGGCATGCTGGCTCGCGCCTAAACCAGCGCGCTGGCCGCAGCCGTTCGTGCGCTGGCGCATCGAAGCCGCCGCGGCAGCACTGCGAGGCCGCCCCGGCAGCGCGGCGAGGCCGCCATGGCAGCAGGACGTGGCGGCCACGGCAGCGCGTCGAAGTCACCGCGGCAGCGCGGCGAGGCCGCCACGGCTGCTCAACGAGGTCGCCGTGGCAGCGCGGCGAGACGAGGTCGCCGCGGCAGCACATGGAAGCCGCCGTGGCGGCGCGAAAGTGAAAGGAGAGGAGAGAGTACGCGGCGGAAGCGTGAATAGGGGGCTCAGCAGGATCTTCCTGCTCTGAAACCATGTTCAAAGGAGCTAAGAAGCTAGCTAGGCATAAGAATGGCGAGAGGTTTTAGCTAGGGAGAAAAGTGAGGAGAGAAAAGAGAGTTGGACTAGAAGAGAGGGATACAAGAAGAGTGTTATACCCTCTACAGTCTTATCCATTGTAGGACACCTAACACCTACCAAGCCTACACAAATATATATAAATAATATATAAGTTGACAATAAGATTGTTTGACCCAATAGGTTGTAAAATATTTCTTACTGTAGACCAGGGTTTGAATCTTGGGGAAAAGTCTTTTTAGGGTACAGGCTTCCGAGCTAGCTCTCTCTCACCGGAGAAAATTAGCTGCAAAACCGAGGCACTGTAATGAGAAATAGGGACATGTGTAAACAACGAAATACTCATTATGCACAACCACACTCATAATGTAATTGCATTATATTAAAGCATTATTATCCCAATGTAAACGTAAAATAACACTGCGTAAATTACACGTTTATGCATGCTTTTAGAATGTGATACAAAAAAATGTTGATCCAATAAAAGAGCAAATAGAGCAAAGATTACTATGCAACCCTAAGACGATTCCGTCGACTCTTGTTTTTTTTTTTTTTTTTTTTTTTGTAACATTCAAAATTTCAGCCTTTTTTTCCAGGCGCAAGGCTGCAAAAGCAGCCAAAAATTCAGCCTTTTTTCCAGGGGGCAATAACGATGAATAAGCGTCACCCAAAACCAATCTTAGAGCCTGCTCAAGATGAATCAGCAGGAGCACCCACAAATCAGGTGGCTCCCCCTTTAGGCTTCGGTCCGAATATCATGGAAAATTTATATACGAGCTGAGCGGTAGTTGTGCACAGTAAATAGCGCGTGAGCCATGCTCTTACAGATGTCGACACTATCGATCATATCGTGTACCGTTTGCTCATCCTTAGACATCTAATGGGTGTGCACTCTATATATGTGCAATAAAATCCCACATGGATAATTTTCTATATTACCATGATTGGAAAAATAAATAGAGAGTTGATATAAGCGGTTAAAATTACAGTAAATTAGTTACATTTCGTAGTGCAAGAGCTATCGAGTTTAGGGCGTGGAACATATGGTTATGATCTCTCAAGTTCGTACTTTAACCACTCTAAAACCATTTAGAACTTTCTAGAGTTAAATTGCAACTTGCTAAACCGCACTCCACTTCTTCCGAAGTTCGAACTTTGCTGGTTCCGTAACTGTATGTTCCACGTTCTAAAGTCGATTCTGCATCGGTACTCACTTCTATGAATTTTCAAGCTGGTTGGACGAACGTACACTAGTACCAAAAGTGGATTCCACATTTTTTCGATGCCAAACCCCGGGACTGCCGCGGACTGCCCATTAAGCTTTTCATACTTTCGTGGACATGCCCTACTTTCATGAACACCACATTGAAGTTTAGCTTCTCCCATGGACTCTGTCATTTCTTTCGTGGACTCCGGGCTTACTTCCATGGACACAAGCGAATTTGCAGCAAAAAAGAGTATACAACACTGTACAGGTGCTGACGGGAGGAAAAAATACTTTTATGGCGTCATTAAGTCCCTCGCAAGTAGTCGCAAGCTACAATAATTACAGGCCATCAAGTCAGCTAGCTGCTCCACGTGATTTAAGAAACTCTGAATCGATGCTCAAAATTCATTTGAACGACTTTGACGAAATGGTATTAGTCAAACAACGGGTATAGCAGATCGAGTACACTGAATCTTGCTACAAGAAATTCATCTTGTACAATAAAGATAGATATTATGGTTACAAGGTTAATAGAGTTCAGTAAAGATTCATAGTAGTCCCAAGATAAAGGTTTGGAATTGCTGCACACCACGAACCAGGATTACCATAAATTATGGCATTTCCAAATATTTCAACTAATATTTGGTTTTTTTTTAAGTTGTGAAATCTCGGAATACCAAAAATATTTGGTAAATATGGTTGTATGAATGGGAGGTTTTAGGTCATAATAATGTAAGTAATGAAAGCATTGTCTGTATCAAGCAATAATATGTGAGAAAATGGCATCGCAATTATATTATATTCACACTTTTGGGAAGATTTTTTCAGATTTGAACAAGGAACATACTTTATCAGCAAATAAAAAAATGTGTGTGTAAAACCTCTCTATTTCCTCGTTCAAAGAGTTCCTAAAAGGCAACAGATGTACTATGAAGGAGAAAAACAAGCACTTATTGATGCTCCCTCGATCATGCACGTGTCTGTTATGCCTTTGTTGATTAGTTATTCTTTGAAAAATAGGTGTTCGTATCACACTGACCTTAATACATTATTTGTTTGAATGTTCACCGCACATTTGAGTGTGGCTGCATGACTCTTCCATGAAAACCTCCGAGATTCTATTTCCGAACTGGTTTTGGACACTGTAGCTCGCGATTACTTGCGACGGACAGGTAGTCTGCAGTATTTCTGTTTTTGTGCTCATAATCACTTGTAGATCGATGTATACGCCTTTATAACTGCAAATCTGCATGTGTCCATGGAAGATAACTTGGGGAGTCCACGAAAGAATTGACAGAGTCCACGGGAGAAGCGAAACTTCGATGTGGTGTCCCTGAAAGTAGGGCCTTTCCACGAAAGTATGAAAAGTTTAGTGGACTGTCTTCGGCAGTAATTTTCCCCCGAAACTCGCTACCCACGCCCATCTCGCCTCCCACGCTCACGCCCTAGTACTGTACACGCATCGCATAGGAACGTAGGAAAGGTGGTGAAAGTGCCAGCAGAGCGGCATGCTCGCGTGGTGCCGTCGGCTGCCATGTGGCGGGATTGTAGCTCGAGGTGCCATGGCTCGAATCCATTGCAAAAATGTACCGCCCAGAAGGTGTCCGGGATGCATCCTTTCGGCAAATTTCTGGGCCAGACACTGGAAGTCGCGAGGATCCGGTCCATGAGTCATGCTCGAGCCACCCCGCTCCTGCTCTGCCGGACCGCT